TGTCATAAATTCCAAAGTGTTGGTGTCAAACTGTGTCAATTGCACCCGCTTATTAATATTTGGAATTCTGTCAATTAGCTTGCTAAATGCTATTATCCATTTACTCCTTTAAAGCCATCTAATACTCACAGCAGCAGCCTGACTGTTCAGTCACCTCCCGAAAACCATACACACATTGCCTCAGGGAGGCTTACATAAGGCGGCTTCTGGGGAGAAGGAGGAGGAGGAAATCGCAAATTGCAGGAACTGCTGATCTTGGATATAGGTCTCTCTGCAGGAGACTCCAAATGTGTCTTTGTTTATGTTCTGGGCCCTGTGCTGTGGTGGGGCAGGAAATAAGGAGGAAGGGATTTGTTGCTTCAATTAAAAAAAAAGCAATTAAGATGTTAAAGAGAAGTTAGGTGAAAGACAGCAAAAAAAAAAAAAAAAAAAGAAAGAAAGAAAATTCATGTCAGTATATTCTCAAACAAGTATTTACACATTCATGAATTAGAATTTTTAAAATATGACTTTCAATCTCACATATAGCAGTAAATGCCAATGATTTCACATGAAGTTAAAAAAGAAAAGAAGTTTCATGCACATAATTCAGACTCCAAAACCATTCTTCAATAAAACATTCATTATAATTAGATTGCTTTTATTAAAGATCTTAATTCTCTACTTGGTCGAATTTATTACATATAGTAGCAACATCACCGGTTGCAAATCAGAAATTCCTTGGTTCCCACTCAACCTCTGTCACTTCCCAGCCCTGCAGTATGTATAAGCCAGTTGACTTCTCTGAGATTCAATTTTTGTTTTGCTTTTATCTTTGAATGAATTAACTGTAAGAAAATGTTGAATTATGTGACTACACAAAAGAATAAAAGTACAACAACTACACAATTCTTCTAAAATACAATTTTTTTCTGTTGCCCATTTTCTCTGCAAATGCTATGCATATATTTTTAATAAGAGGCAATAATTGATCAGAATAATTCTCCAGAGAGCATAATATTTCAGTGCAGATATTGGGAGTGCACTCTACACAGCTCCAGGCATGGAAGAGTTAAGTGGTCTCCGGCACACCACCTCCGAATTCCAGGGGGAGGGAGAGGGGGAGGAACAGAGGGTTTAATGGCTCACACAGGCTGAGCTCTGTTGCTGTGCAAACTCCAAGGTGCTTCTTCTCAGTCTCCAGTCCTTCAGGAAGTTAATCTTTTAAAAGTTTACATTCCCCTCTTCTGCCCATGCTGCTACACAGTAGGCGAATGCTCACCAGAAAGAGGCCAGCATTTGTTGGGATAATCAGGAAAGCACATCAGCCTCATGTCCTAGTCCTCCTTATCAGGAAGCAAATCGCTCCAAAATTGTATTCAAACAATGAGTTTATGTTAAGCTTTGATCATTTGCATAGAAAAAAGCTAAGAAAATGATGCAAAAAGCTCTAATTAGTGTTTGACTTTAATTCATATATATATTATAAAATACATCAAAAAGAATGGCACAAAAATATTCATTCTCTCTGTCTCACACACAATACACAAAATGTAACCATAAAAATCCAGTGACTAACTTTTTCAAAGGCAGTTTACAATGAAGCTCACACTGTCATTGAGGCTCTTCAGAACACTCCCACTCACTTTGAATACACTTATCCATTGTTCTTGTTACTTTCCGAGGTAGTTCTGGAAATGCTTTTCCCTGTCTTTCCGTGGCTGCCTTGCTATCCTAAATTGATTCAAAATGTTTACTGCAAATAAAAACATTATGGTATATTCTCACCACCTTGTTCTCTGAATCTGGCGAGACTGAGAGACTTCCAGCTCTTTCCCAAAGTTATAATGACTGCCAAAGGTAAATGTTTTGAATTGGTTCAGGACATCCAGGCAGCTACCACAGCACAACTAAAGACATTCACAAAAGAGGACTTCCAGAGCCTCTTCACAAAGCGGCAAGAGCAATGGGGTGTGCATGTTCAAAGTGAGAAGGATCGATTACATCTTGTACTATAATTTTTAAAAGATAAACATTCACTGTACATTTTGATCACACCGTGTGCACATTCTGTGCACCACATGTTTGCACCTACTGGACACTTAAGAAGCAAAACTCAGCCTCCCTCAATCCTGTGTTAGGCTATGGTATCACCATAAGCTTAATCAAGGGAACTAGATAAAGTATATTAGAATTTTAACACAGAATACCCGCAGTCTGTTACATACATTTAGGCTTCGCTGGCTAAGAAAGCAGTGATGTGTGTTATCTGTATTACTCACTTTGTGTCTGGCATACAGTAGGAGCTCACTTAAATGTTTGCTGACTGAGCTAATGAACATTCCTAGGTCTAAAGGGGATACTGCCACTTTAAATATGCAGTTATGATAATGTATATTAATGGTGAGAGTTGACTTGGAGTGAACCTCATCAGTAGGTGGGGTATTGTGCAGTTGGTCTTTGAATTTAATCTTTTTATTGTTTTTCTACAGTTCCCAGCTAAATACTTCTTTTGGGTTTTGACTTACATAAATCTACAATTAAATTTCTCTTCTTCGTCACAGTCAAGATTTTGGTATCCAGGGGAATCCAAGTTCCTTTTATTAATGGTTCATTTTCTCAGCCAGGCCTATGTTTTTATGGGTTGTTTTACCTAAACAGGTACAGACATATTTTGTAGGCTAGTGTGGTAGCCTATAAATGATATATGCAAGAAAGATAAAGTTATTGTTTGTATCTGTACAGGTATCTATCCACAGTAGGGCAGATGTAACCAAATCCCTATATTCAATTCATTAAAATAAATCAAGGATTGAAAATTTACCTAAATTGCTGTGATCCTTGTTTATGATTTACATACATTCTCCTTCCAGGTAATGACTTCCATTCCATCATTCTACTTCTCTTCAAAACAATGTCTTTTGTTTTTCTTAGAATGCATGGCAATCAGTTCGGCAAAATGTCATTAAACTGCCTCCTACAAAATAATACAATACCCCAAATTTTTCCTTCACTTTTTGTAGAGCCTAAATATTTTTCTCTGCTTCTTTCTCCTTGGCTATGACCTTACAAGGAACCATGATGGTCCAGCCAAACGATTTCCTCTCTCAGAAACCACATCTTCCCCTATTAGCTCATGCATGCTTCACCACCAAATGGCTCTCCACTGCAACTTCCAGGGGGTGTACAGACTGGAGAGGGACACGCCAGTGTGCAGTCACTGAGTGTTACCCATAGTTTCCGCATGGGAAAGAATTTCATTAACAACCTACAGGCTTTCTTTTACATTTTAACACAAGCGTCTGAATACAGTCATTAATACTCACACTATTTTTTAAATTAAACCAGAAGACATTATAGATTTGTCCAACTCTGTATTTTATACAGCCATGAAAGTAAATCCTAGCATAAACTATGTATTCTGGATGATAATGATGTTTCAGCAGTGTAGATTCATGAATTGATGCAAATGTACGTTGGGGAGAAATGATACTAGGGTCACGTGTGGGACAGAGTTATACTGGAACATTGCACTTTGCAATCAACGTCATTGGAAACCTGGAGCTGCTCTCTCAGCAATCTATTAAAGAAAAATACTTGCAAAGAGCATAAATACATGTCACTATTCAAGTTTCACATATCTTATAAATATTAACATATTCAGGGCCAGGGGTGAGGCTCAGCGGCACAGCACCTGCCTGGCAAGTGTGAGGTCATGAGTTCAATTCCGGCTACCAAAAAAAAAAAAAAAAAAAAATTAACATATGTAACCCTTATAACAAAATTTGCTATTAGTGTAGAACTCCCTTGACATAAAATTTGATTGCATCCTAATGACTGCATCATAAGATGAAAATATCATAAGTTAAAAATACATTTAATGTGCCTCATCTACCAAAAATCCTAGCTCACCAACTCAGGACACTGTGTGGTATTTGCTGTTTTCCTTCCTGATCACGTAACTGCTTGGGAATCCAGGTAACTGTTGCTGCTCAGTAACACAAGGGGATCCCACTGCGCATTGCTAGCCTGGGTATAGAACAAATATCAGAACTCCAAGTTCAGTCTTTACTGAATGTATATGGTTTTCCTACTATTGTAAGGGTAAAAGTTTCCCATCAAAGCACTGTAGGTCAGGGACCATGTGTATGATTATCCCCTTCTGACTGATGAGGAGACTTCAGCAGGAGGATGAAGTCATCTGACCCTCAGCCCCCTACTGCAAAGAGCTGGTGACTGTGGGCCAAAACTTCTGTCCTCATTGTCATTACTGTGCCTGTTCATGTGTCACTCCTGCCGAACCATGCTTCTAATCACACATGCTTCCCCTCCAACCCACATACTATCAGATGTTTTTACGTGGAAGTAATGTATATATATATATATAAAATCTCTGTTATGTGTCATCTGAAGGACAGACTTCATGAGGAAAAGTGGAAGTGAAGTCATTCCTAATGATTTTTTCATTAAAGAGGAAAATGAGAAGTCATTTGAATTTTTCACTTGCATCAGGATCAGTAAATGGCACCACTGATTCTTGGTATCTGACTAATTCTGAAATATTCATATTCATAGCATTGAGTGGCAATTTATCTTCATAGGTATCCCACAGTTATTTTTTTTTTCTTTTATTAGGCAGGAAATTGAACTCAGAAGCTTGCACTTGCTAGGTGTGTATTGGACCACTAAGCTTCATGGTTACTTAAGAATGTTTTTATTTTATTCTTTTATATTTTCTGTTTAACCAATTATTGAAGTGTGTATTATTTCTACAAATGGAAAAGAATCAGTAGGTTCAAAAATTAAAATAAGAAAAGAATATCTAATACATTTAAATAACTGTAGTGAGACAGATGAGAGAAATTTTCAAAGGACATGGCTATTTGTTCACAAAGTTCAAATCTTTTCCTGGGAGTTAGTTTCTTGAAGATTATTACCAAAAGAAAAAAATGTTAAGTATATGCAAGCTTATGTTCTGAATATATCAGCCACAAAAAAGTTATTTTTTTAGATGGAGTTGCTTGGATACAAGGAGAATCTTACAGAATGCAAATGAACTTGGAAGAATTAGCAATAATTTCAAAACATTAGAGATGTGACACTGAGCGAAAGAGGTAATCGAACTCTGTCTGTGATGGGAACAATATCTGAAAGGAATATTGTAAGTATCTGCTAGTTTTTAAAGCTGCTAATGATTATTAAATGGAGGAATGTGGACAGTATGGATGACTAAAAGCCGCTTTTATGAGATTTCATGAGGTGAACAATTGTTTGGTAGATTCTCTAATCTTTATATTTTGTAATTTTCTGTTTGTCTTAAATATTTTTTTAAAAAGTGCTTAACTGTGAAACAGGAATCTTATTAGTAAATTCAGAAAATGGATAACTGATCGTTCAAATATAAATGTCTTCTTTACCTGAAAAACGAATAAGAAAATAATAACTTGCATTCGCTATGGCAGGTCTTTACAAAAAAAATTGTAGTAGAAAATTTATCTAAAACGATGGTAGTTTTTGCAGTTTGCAGAAGAGAAAAATACAGAAACAATGTGATCAGAGACAGTCTTTGGATGCACACAGTGGATACATTGTGTTCTCTGGGGTTGCATAATTACTTTGAATGAAGTTTTCTTTTCTGTATCATCAAAGAAGAATTTTGGCACTGCTATGATACGCCATCCTTTGCTCCTACAGAATCCAAGCAGGCTTGGAGAAATGTGCCAAGGGGTTATTGGTTTTTCAAAGAGCATTATGATCTCTGCTGAGCTACTCACTGGACTCCACTGACCCACATGTCACATTCCAGCTGTTTTCATGTTTGTTTTTAATTTCAATCTCCTTTAATGGAAAGAAGGTGACTCACCCTGCACATGTCAGCTGACATTTGTCTCATGGAAATTTAAAGGGATTGGGCTTGAAATTGAAAGATAAGATGGTGATTTAGGGAAACTTGTAAGAGCTATGTTTTGGTTTTTTTCTACTTATCTTGCAGGAAAATTCCTTAAATTTCAAATAAGAATCTTAGTCTCTGGTATTTAGCCGTTCTTCTGTGAAGCAGTTATTTAGGATGTGATGTCCAAACTTTCAATGGGACTTGAGGTTACCAACATAGCACTCACTATGTGCCTTACAGCAGGCAACGACTGTACTTAAATGGAGCCCTGTGGACTTGACCATAGAGGGGTTTGTTTGTTTGCTTGCTTGTTTGTTGAATCTCATGGGGAGGACACAGAAACACAAAAGCTGAATGACTTTCCCAAAGACATCTGGCTGGGCAGCACAAAAATAGGCACAAAAGCCAATATAATCACAGACGCCCACACTGTATCTGGCAATCAAATTCTTGCTGTTAATCACTCTGGTAGACTAGTCCACCACACTGATTGCAGATATGAAAAGGTTTTATTAACACAATAAATTAGAAAGAGGACAATTTTTTCATAGCTGATTGGGTAATGACCACTGCCAAAATAGTTATTCAAGCAGATTGGTTAAAGTAAACTAGTCTCTTCAATACTAATACCTGTCCCTCCCTCACATATGACAACATATTCTTAATATGTACCTAGATGAGAAAATAATGGAGGAGGAATTAAATATTATAGTGATTTCTGTTTGTGACCTCATTTGAAGATTCCAGAAATAAATTATTGAAAAATTCCTGCTGTTAGAGCACAGTAGGGTAAGAGATCAAATATTTCATGATTAAAGCAATAGCAACAAAACAATTATAATTATGCTTCCCTAAAACATCACTGTACCGTTAAACTATTTCTACTTAAAAAGATACTACTGAGCACAATTTTAAAAGACTGTCATAAGCAAAATACTTCCAAGGTTAGTGTATTGAATTCCAAGTATTTCATATAAAAGTAGCAGAACTTTATTTATATGAACATAAACATAAAAAGTCTTATTTTTGCACTTGAAATACTTTGTGTTAGTCAGTTTGGCATATTATAGTAAAAAATATCAACAGCATGGCTTAAACAACAGACATTTATGTTTCTCAGAGTTGAGGAAATCAGAAGGTCTAAGATCAAGGTTCTGGCAGAATGGATTTCTGGTGAGGTCTTTTTCACGCTTGTACACATTTCTCTCTGTGTGTGTGTGTGTGCACATTGGCTTTCCTTGCTATCTGTGTTAGATACGGTTCTCTAGAGAAACACAATTAGTATAAAGCATAAGTCTAGGTAAACGAGGGCATGTATTAGGTAGGCTTACAAGATCAGAGTGAAAGAATCCACCATGGCCATCTGTGTGCCGGACAGCCAGAGGATTCAGGAACTTCTCAGGTCAAGACAATGAAAGTTGTACAAGGATCAAGAAGGCAGAACTAGTTTAAAGCCAAAGACCTAGAAGCTTACCACGTTGTAGCCAGCCTGAGTCCACCCCTCAAGGCTGAAGAAACTTGATGTCCAAAGGCAAAGATGGGAACTCTTCCAAAATGGGAAAGCTTCCTGCTTTCTCTTTTCATTCCTGCCAGGCTATGAGCATATTGATTGGTGTCACCTGCTTCTGGGGTGAGTCTTCCCCACTCAGTTTGCTGGTCTATGTGTCAGTCACCTACAGACACACCAAGAACTGAGCTTTACTAATCTGCTAAGAGGTTCTTACTCAAGTCAAGTTAATGTCTCACATTTAATGGTTACAGTTCAAGAATATGGAAGGAAAGAAAGGTCTAATGTCTCTTCCTCTTCATAGACTGATACTAATTCATTGTAAAGGTCTTCCCCTTTTGTGACCTCATATTAGCCTAATTATCTCCCAAACTTTCCAACACCCAATTGCCATCCTCTATCCCACTGGAGATTAAAACTTCAGCATATGAATTTGGGGGGGACAAAGACGTACATAACACATTTCTAGAAAATATTTTCCAGTGAGTCCAGATTCATCTAGTAGTACATACACTTTGAAAGGATATAGTACTAATCCAAAGTAAAGAAAAAAAATCCTCCTTTCAGAGTTCAAGCTCACCACCAAAGAAATAAATGATCTCCCCTTCATGAAGAGTGACATGGTGCTTGAGGGTCAAACATAATTCTCATCAAGAGAACTGAAAAAAAGGCAGAGTGACAAGGGAAGGAGAGATGGAGAGGGGACGTGAAGAACTAGACTTTAAAGTAGCAAACAGAAAAGCTCAGGCAGGAGCAGCAAAATGGGAGGGGAGGAGAGGAAGAGAAGAGATAGAAAAGAGGGAGAAAAGAGAAAAAAGAGGCAAGGGGGGGGGGAGAGAAAGACAACAGTAAGGAGCGGAGTTTCTCTCAGTACTAAAGTTCCAAACTAGATGCTATAGAAATAGTAATTACAGGGCCAGGGATACAGCTGAGTGGCACAGCACCTACCTGGCAAGCTTGAGGTCCTAAGTTCAATTTCTTGTACCAAAATAATCAGTAATAATAATAATAATAATAATTGCAGAGGCTGGGATTTTACTCATCAATATTTTTAAAATAACATCTTTACAAGCTATGTATTCCAACCACCTAAAGATCTCAAAATTCTTCTCTATGGATTTGAGTAACAATATCTATCTTCCTCCTAAACAAAATTCTTGTTTTTTGAATAGAGTTGGAGAATTTATTGTAGAATCCACCTTCTTCAAATTTTCACAATTCAACCCTATAGACACAGACAGTTTTCACTAAGGAACTGTTTAACTGTTCTTTGTCACCTGTAACTCATTTTTGCAAAACGCAGACGCTAGTGCACTGTTCCAAGACATCTGTTAATCTAAAGAATTTATCCAAAAACAATGTAATTAGGTGATAGCAATATGAGAAACAGTGATATGATTTGGCTATCATATAAACACTGGATAAAGTAAATTTGATGACCAGATATGTATGTGATTTATATTTATGTATGCATGTATGTATGACATTTAGAAAGGAAGATTTATAAAAGCTGAAAATATCCTAACTTGAAAGTTGTGGAGGTAACTATTGCCTTCTACTGCTGGAGGCATGTAAACACCAACAAGGAGAAATTAGTAATTTTGGGGGAGTGGGGTGGAGTGGTACTTAGCCCTAACATAATCACCTGAGAAAAAGCACTGTAGGCCTACTTTGAAAACCATTAGATAATGGAATCACGTCTTCAGTGAAATGCTACACATTTTTTAATGCCTATACATCTTACCACTGAGAATATTTAGAGCACAAGACATTCTGTCATATTAGACTTTATGTCCAAAGCATTTACTGTTCTACTTCATGAAATTAAATATACTCAAATCTCTTCTCTATGGGGAATGTATTCAATCTCTAGGCTGTTTTGGTTTGGATCAAAAATATCTCCCAAAGTCTCATGTGTTTGGCAGGTGACTGGATCAAAGGGACTCTATAATCATCAATAGAATCAACCATTGATAAGTTTGTAAGCCACTACGTTGTTAGGAAACAGGGCCTGGTTGGAGGTGGGCTACTGAGGGTTGTGCCCCAACAGGATGTGTTCTTGTCCCCAGCTTTTCTCTCTCTCTCTCTTGGCTGCTAGGAGATGAGCAGCTTCCTTCCACCAGGGTCATCTACTGCTCATTTCTTTCTGGAAGCCACTGATTTCAGACCAAATCCACTAGAAACTGAGTCAAATTAATGTTTTCCTTTAAATTGCCAGTATCAGGTGCCTGCTGTTCTTTTGAACTAGTTACAGGAAAGTAATTAATACATAGGCATATAGGCAAATATATATATATATATATATTCTACATATATAGATTCTATTCTCCAAATGTATGCCATACATATATATATATATATATGTATATATATATATGTATTAATATACATTCTGCATATATACATCTATTCTATATATATAGATTCTATTCTACAAATATATGCCATATATGTATACATATATATATATATATATATTCTGCATATATACATCTATTCTACAAATATAAATTCTATTCTACAAATATATGATATATATAGAGAGAGGGGGGTAGAAAAAGAGAAAACTGCGATTTAAAATTCTGTTATGTATTTGTTTTAAAACATTCAATTCACAATTGAAAACTGTGGTTGGTGGATATTAAGTAGGGTGAGAAACCAAGCCTCTTTATTTTCCTTATTATATTAATTTTCCTTTCACAAGTCAGAAGCATTTCTTTCCAGTTAGTACAGGTTGCCTCTGAAAACAAGCCCAACAGTTTACCTAAAATTCCAGAAAAAGCAAAAAAAAAGTTGAGTTGACGAACTTAAAATGTTCAAACTCTGAGTGAGAACTTAAAGTTCCATGACCTAACTTTTTCTTGTGAAAAGAACAATCACTTTCAGAAAACCTGTGCCCCCTGGAATGACGCATCCGCTTCCTCCTAAACATAGATCCCATTATCAGTGTTGCCAAATATATCTACAACCGCCTGACTGTTGAACACCATGTTTACCTAATGGACCGTAACAGACAGTCAGAACAAGCACAGCAGGAGACAGTGTTCTCTAAAAGTATTTTCCAAACCAGTACATTTTTTTTCCTTTTTCTTTTTTCTTTTTCAATTAAAGGAAAGGGATTATTAAGCAAGACAGATACAAAGAACCTTGTTTCGCCATCTCCACTGAAACTATTTCTCTCTGATAAAATGTAAAATAATTCTGGGAATCACATTTTTATGTCTTTACATAAGAACTAGGAGAGGACGGAAGGCCCTGGAGTGAAGTTTACATTGAACGCCCAATCAAATCTGGCATGAATTGCATAGAGAAAATTCCTAAGGACCCCAGAGATAAATTTTCAACTTTCCCCTGTATATAATGAAACAATTCAAAGCTGAGGAGCACAGTGGGGCCAAGGGAGATTTTATGTAACTACTAAGGAGAAAAATAATGTAATTATTCAATGTATTGCACATGGCTTCATTTTAAAATAAAACATATGCATTATAAAATGTTTGTGAAGTATAGATAGGTCAAAAGGAAACCATAAATCATAAAATCCTACAATGAAGAAATAAACACTATTAAAATTTTGCTTTATACTTTTCTGATTTTATATGTTCTGAAAATACTTAAAAAACAAAAATAGACTCATTTGTAGTTAAAATTTTGCAAATTTTACCAAGAACTTTTAGTGTGCCCTACATAGTGCTTTGCTATATTTGAAAAATATTTTGCAGAGCATTATTTTTCACATATCATTTGTGAGGAGTGGCACTGTGAGACAGAGTCTGGCTGTGTGGCCCTGGCAAACCTCTGAATCCGGAGCAATGCTCTTGTCTCAGCCTCCCAAGCATTACGATTACAGGTGTGCACCTCCACACCTGTCACTGCAATGCCGTTTTCATTGTGGTTTAATATATCTGCATTGAGCAGCCTTTTTCATCAGTGCTCTATTGTTGTTACCAAATGTTTGTTACTAGCAATCTGTGCTGCATCCTCTTACATTGTGTTTTTATACATCTCATAAACATTTTCAAAGAATAACCACTTGAAGTGTATCACAAGACAAAACTCCAGAACTTGGTGATACAAAGTCAAAATATCTTTCAAAATAGTTTTAATCATTTTATTTCTATTGGCAAATATGTTTCTTGTAGTTTTAGAGATGGGTAAATTTTGGGTGTTTGATTTTATTTACTCAAACATCAATTCTGTTTGGTAGTTGCTTTCATAAACTTGTGTTAAGAAAACCATTTTTATCTGAGACTAATTATTACAACAATAAATAAATTATCAGGTGGAAAGTTTTAAAAAGTAAATACTTGATGCTTTTGAGTTGCCTGTCTTTTAAAATATGTTTTTTAAAAATACAGATTTGTATCCTTATATTTGGAAATTATTCTGATATATAGTACAAGCTAGATTAAGTTGTTACTTAGTTATCTCCATACATTATTAAATAAGCCCTCACTGATTTGATGTGTTATCTCATAAAATTGTTATATGCATGCTATTCTTTATTTAATTAAATCTATAAAATTACTATAACCACTTCTCTTGCATATCTGCAAAGGACCCAAGAGTAACAATTATTTCACTTGTGTAAGGAATAAAGTTGAGTAGCTTTTTATTTTCTATGTTTGTGTGTTCTCAAATTTAAAAAAAAAACTTAAATATTGGTCTTCCTTGGAAACTTTACTCCATGAATGAGTGTAGGAATCAGTGCATCACATCAAGAAAAGACATGCAGCAGTCATGCAAAAGTGGAAGCCAATTTGCAGGTGAAAAATATTCTCTTCTCAAAAAGACCTCATCTGAAGGTCTTTTATCCCTGTCCTTTCTCTACAGTTTATTTAAAGAGATGCTTCTTAAAGTAACGTCTCCAGATGAACCGTATCACTTGGGAATTCATTGGAAGTAAATGGCTACAGACGTACTGAATTGGAAATCGTGGGCGTGGAGCCCAGCAATCTGTGCCTGAAGGAGCCACCCAGGTAAACACAGTGCTCATAAAAACTTGAGAATCACTGAACTAAAAAGAAAAAAGTATCAGGAAAAAAAATCTAAATAAAGCCCAATAAAATATCATGGTATCTGGTACCTCATTCTTAAACAATCCTTATCTGGGATATTTCAGACAGACCTTTATGCATTTGCCTTTTCACATTTATTGTGCATTTATTAATTTATTAAACATCTTTATCTCATGGGACGGGATAGCAACCAACTAGAACTCTGAATAAGTTCAATTCCTTGCCTTCAATTGTTGTTCTACCTTTCAAAAAATCCAGAAAAACTACTAGACTATTCTGTTCTCTCAAGTTTTTGTTTTGCTTTCTAATCTACATGATCTGTAGATTATGTAGATCTATTCTGTTTCTTAAAATGTAAGCATTTTAGTTCACAAAACAACACTGCAATAACTTGCAATATATCTCATAAAGATAATACCAAAAATATTTCGCTTTAACTGAAATGGAAATTGGAGGGGTCAGACACAGATTCCCACTAAAACGTCAGGAGCAGTAAAGCCAAACAGGTCAGCCGCTGTGGGAAACAGCAGATAACTCAAAAAGCAGAGCCTAACAAGTTAGTTTTAAAGATAGTGATTGGATGAAGGGTAACCAGGCAACACTGGAAGGTGTATCTCTGGGAAGTGAGAAGGGCCCAGTGAGATGGAACACAGAGCAAAACAGCAACAATGGGGGAGATTTAGGGATGAACGTGCAGCATTGGAAGTAGAAAGTGGGGAGCAGGGCATCTTGCATATTTGAAGCGCCAAAACAGGGAAGCCACACTTTTTTTCCTTTTATTTTAAAGGGATGACAGGAACTGATAAATTTCGTACATATGGAGTACCTTACACTGTTAAGCCTTTCGGCTCCAAATCCAAAGTCCGTGAGGCTTTCCACAGTGCAGGAGTCTACCCCTTCCTGGTTCCTGAGAAGTAACCACTTCTTTCCTGCCTGGCTTTGCTCAGAACAACACAACACCCTGACAACCCCTTCCCACCCCACCACGCAGTGCTCCCTGAGGCTTCTAGCTCAGTTCTGAGGACCTGGTACTATGTTATATGTCACTGTGTATTTATGAATGAGGTAAATCCAGAGTTTAAAGAGTAGGCTGATTCAGGAGAAGATGGCCTTTAGATGTTCAGGGGACACTTCCAGCAAGAACTTTCCACTCTGAAAAGCAAGTGCTTCACCGCTCAGATCCAATCCCACTCCCTTATCAGGCAGTATACTTTCTCTTCCTCACATAGATAACTCCTGCTCACTCCTTAAATAGAAACCCAACTATCACTTCCACCAAAGAAATCTTTCTGGTGACGGGACAGTTCAGATTCCATGTCACTGTAGCCTGCTCCACAGCGATCACCACAGTTACAACTTAACATTTATTTGTATGATTATGTCTATGTACTCCACTTCTGTATTTCTGTTCACATTTGAGTCATCAGAACCCGGACACTGTCTGGCACATGGTAGGTGCTTGCACAATATTTAAATATTTGTTGACTAGACGAATGCTCATATCCTGGATTGAGAAAAACAACCTTTTCCCTGGCATCTTTAAGGTTTTTCTATCTATGGTCTACCCTGATAGACCATACCTACCTACCTTATAGTTGCTTTTTTTTCTTGAAGTCCGTATCTTTCACAAATTCTATTAGAAATATTTATCAAATTGTCAACAAAAGACTTTCATCCTACTATTTTAATACAATAGTCACGCCCCACAACCCCTTTTCTGTGGTTCAGAGAGTTAACTACATCATCAGCCTTTTTTTTATTTTTTACTTTGAGACAATGTCTTGCTAAGTTGCACAAGATACATTTGAATTTATGATCCTCCTGCCTCAGCCTTCCAAACTACAAGGAATAGAGGCACGTGTAATCATTCCAAGCTTAGTGATACCTCATAAATGTACATACTTACAAACTCAGGTGAATAATCTTCTAAGGGGGCAAAATGCATTTGATTCAGTACTGTAGTTATAGCTCTATACAATATTGGAAGGCATAAACATAAAAAAAGAAATACTCGCCTTTCCTATGTTAGAAAAACTGAAAGACAGCTATACAGCCCTGAGGACACTACTCTACCCAATGGCTGTGGGTAGCAGACAGAAGCAACCTATCTATTTTAGGTTATTTAGAATTGGAGCAATAAAAAGGGATATAGAAAGAAAACCAGGACAGTGGTGATGCATATTAACAGGATGTCTCACATGATAGCCAGTGACGAAAGCAGATGACACCCAAAGACTGACTTGAAGAACTGAAGAGTATGAGTCGCAAGGAAGAAGAGAGTTTTTTAAACATAGATACTCAATCTTAATCTTAACCTGCTTTATTTTCTGTTAATAAAAATATATTTAAAAACTATGAGTCAATAGCTGGTATGACATACAGGTTGTAGCAGAAAAAATAAACACTGTGCTGTTCCACAGTAGGAAAATTCAGACCATCATACTAGTATGATTTTATCTCCTTGTGACAATAATCAGTATGTACGTATGTTTCATATATTCTGATGCTCATTTTGTTATTGTCCTCCTTCATGGTCTGAAATGTGTTCCATCCAAAATCCACAAATTGATACTGTCATTGTAAGAGAAAGTGACTGTATTTAATGACCTGGTCTTTAAGTAGAGATACAGTTAACTAAAGTCATTGGGGTGAGCTGTAATTCAACAAGATAAGTGTCTTAAGAAGAGCACATAATGACACGAATACACCGAGAACAAAGACCATCCATGAACCAAGGAGAGAGACTCAAAGAAGTCAAACTGCAGACACTTTGATCTCAGACCTCTGCCTCCAGAAAACAAATCTTGTTCATGTTTTGGCATACCTAACAAACCAATACGTAAGTCATTTTATATGTCTTAATTTAAACTCATGAACTAACAAAAGTATGCAGTATCCCTGAACTTGTTGACTTACTGAATGAGAAAGAATAAAATAGTCAAAGATAGCATAGGTAACCGTAGCTACTGACAACAAAGTAAAATGTGCAAAGTGTGTAAAAGATGTTCACTACTAAAAACTCTGATAGGACAATGCCTTTCCAAGAAAACATCATATATATTCCACTTCACATGACTAACACTTAAGAGTATATCTTTTACACTTTACTAATAATAGAGAAAATACAACTAGATATATAGGAAAAACATATGCTTCATGTTGTTGTTAGGGGTTGTGAGGAGAACTATTAGAATCAGGACATGGAGTTTATAATATTATTTTTATGATGGTCATAAAGAGTTAACACAAGAAAGTGCAGGAAATCTATCCACAACACTAAAGACATAGAATATTTGGCCAAGGACCTGAATCCCACAGCAATGTCCCATATGAGTCCAGATGAAAACATAGAGCCCATGACAGTGCCTCCTACGAGTCCAACTGTAGGTCTAGAGCCCACGAGAAGGACTCACGCCAGTCACTTTTACAGATATGTTCCAGGAAGGACCAAAGGTCAGTGGTCAAAGCTAGAAAGTCTATGCCAGCGGGGTGAAGGAGCTGTGCTGGTAGATTGAGGGTTCTATGCTGGAGCTGAAAAGTCACGCTCATGGGGTCTTGAAAAGAACCACAGCCATCTTCAGCAACACAGAGGCCCCTAGCTCCTCTGAGGACGAGCACAGTCGAGTACATGCCAGGAAGCCAGCATGGGGAGTTCATCCTGGAGATTAAGTGGCACACGTCTTCCCTTCCAGAGCCAGGAACCATGCTTGATGCAAGAACCAGAGCTTCTCCAGGAGAACCAACAGCTCAAACAGCAACTCGTAGGAGAACCTACAACGTCTCAACACATAGCTTCTTCTACTCCATGTCTGTATTTATGCTGGCGAAACATCTACACTCAGCACCATGGTGATTTAATTCCGCTGGTGTTAAGTTGACCACCAGTTCTTAATCCATAACACCCCAAAAGAAGAGAAAAGCAATAGAGATATGGAAAAGCAGACACTTTCCAAAAAATAAAACTGGTAGGGAGTCATAGCTGACAGAAATGATAATTTTTAAGTATCCTATAAAGAGACAGAAAGCAATTGATCTCAAATGTAAACCAGAGGCAAAAGAACAAAGAAATAAAAGTCATTACCATCATTATCCCCAAACAAGGATCCTAAAACTTTTCAAAGTTCTATAGAAACTGCTAGCAGTTTAACATAATATGTGTTAGACTACAATGTAACATGAAGACTGCAAAATCAAATTTTAATATACATAAGCCTCCTCTAGTCAATTGTATCTTAAACATACAAAGTCTTTGCATAGCAGTTTTATATTGTCTGGGGAAAAAAACACTTTACCATGTTTGATACATCCGTATGGTATATCTAAAAGAAGAATATCAGGAGTCTACAGGTCTCAAACTTGCTCTGGGAAAAAGTTACAAAGCAATACAGGATAAACATAAGGAAGAGCAGCATAGAACTGAGTTGCAGAATTAAGAGTTTTCTCGGAATTCCTATGGGTGACACCAAGCATTTCTGGAAGCAAACATTAAGAGGTAAAATTCAGTGCTAAAAATTCAGACTCACTGAATCTCACTTTTTGGTATTACAGTTGTTAACATATAAACCCAAAGCATACTTTTGCATTAGAAATCTGGGTTTTTTTCTCAAAATAAAGTTATTTCTAAATGAGAGCGGATAAACATAAACACAGCCAGGGAAAGAAACCTGTTATCAAGGTAAAAACATCCTTCACTAGTTTCTTGATGTTATTAGAGGAAACCATTTTTACTTTTTCAATAGATGGAAGCACCACTTGCTTTATAAATTACCTAATAAAACATATCAAGTTGGTCACATCAACATGAATCCATACCTCAATAAAACATGATGCTGAACCATTAAAAAATACTGTTCCTGCATAATGCAAATAAGCAGCCCTGTTAGTGTCTTTGGAGAAACAGCTCTAACATTTCAAATAGAATAAAACTCTATTGATTAACAATTACTTAAAAAGATAAAGAAACCCTAGTGTGATTTCACACTTGAAAGAATTATGATAACTTAATTTAATACCAAAATAAGAACTTTATTTTTAATAGAATAGGATGATAATTTTAGGAGGGACATAACAAATAATAATAATCAGGATGTTTATCATATTGATACATCATAATAAACTTTTACAACATGCTGCCAGCATGTGAGATCTGAAAATAAATTTGAGTAGAAGATATAAAACCTGACATTTCAATTCTCAGAAGAGAGAAATCAATTGTTTAAACCATGAAAATTAATACCATATTTTACATTTTCCATCATTAAACATTCTAATACCTAACAGTCTGTATTGCCTATCTCTTTAGGTATTTCTAGTGCAGTAAAATTGAGTAGATTCAGCATTGTAACTGTTCACACAATGTTTTCAGTTATGAGTTTTGTAATCAGTTTAATTTTTAGACAATAACATCTCTCTCTTCTTGAAAACAATCTATAATTTGGTGTAAATCTATTGCTTAACTTTGAATATATACTTTTAATGCTTAATATGATTGTCATCTATCAATATAAAAGATATTAACCACAATACTGATTCACAGATCAGCATTTCTGGGATAAAGGCATATGGGAAATGAATTTCACTGCTACCACGTCCATTTCTACCAATACAATAAGTAACAGCGACCCATCATGAGTATGACTGCTGTGATGGAAGAGTGGGGAGAGTGGTGAAAACTGAGTCCCGACCTTGTGTGTGCTGTCATTGGTTCACATATTTAAATAGTAAATTCTTTTTAAGAAACCAACCTACACATGACAAGCGATAAATTCATCCCTATTTCAGCAGTGATGTAAACTCATCTCTTTGTGTCTACTTTTTGCTATCATGGGCAGTATACCAGCTGGACATTTAGTTGAAAGGCTGTGGTCCTACTTGTTGATCTAATTCTGGAATACGTGCTATTTTCTTAGCTCTTCAAATTCAAAGTTTCTTCACCTATAAAATAAGTATACTTGTATTTATTCTGCTCATCCCGCTTCCAGATAGGAGAGATATGCTAGGATAGTTGCACATTACAAGTAAAACCTTCTAACTCAAATAGATGCTCCTAAGAGATATATCATATTGAGTTAATCATTTCATCTCTTTGATTCAGTAAAGCCAAAAAAATAATGATAGCATTGCACAATTGTATGGGATAACTATATGCAATGGTGCATGTGATTCAAATCAATTGACTTATTAGATCTTTCAAATGCATCTGAACCTGTACCTCATTGCCTACTAGATTTCCAGATACACAATAAACAGTTTCTTTAATGAAAGCTGAGTATATGAAATGGAAAATATGATATGAAATGAGATTTTGATATGACTGCAATGTGTAAAAAATTAAATTTCCTTAATTTACAAAGATGGAAAAACAGACTGAAACTTCTAAATAAGTAGAATGAATATGAAAATATGTGTTTATAGTTTCCTTTAAAAGAATGAATTAAGAACACAAGGGTCTTCATGCTGTTAGAATTTATTAAACTTGACCAAAAAAAAAAAAATATAAAACAAAGCTTTATATATACTTGCAGAAACTTCAAGTTGAAAGTTTATTGTAACTTCTCTATTTTGGGGAGTCTGCTAATTCATTAAGATAGTCTTCAAAAGAGCAGTTAAATGAAAGATAAATTGTATACTAATAACCTAGAGAAAATCATGATCCAATTTCAGGATTTAATATTGAGAGTGACAAGAAGGAAAAAAAAGAGTGACAAGAAGGAATAATTATACTGGGATAAACACACACTCATAAATGCACTGAGATAATTTTAAAACATTTAATGGTTGTGAAGAGTAAATTATTTAACTCTAACTAGGGATAAGAGCCTTTTGGTAGCTATCACTTACTGCTGTAAATCTGCTGAAGTTTGCATTTCCTGGCGGCTGGCTCTGTTTATTTAAAGTCATTCTGAATGCTCTGCTAGAAAGGATTTCAGTGGTGCTGCCAAATATTCACTAGATTAAAAATGTGCTCTGCTGATAATATTTTTATAAACACTGCACACTGAGCAGGAGCAATGCTCTTCAGATATCAATTTGCTGCTCTTCCACAGTCAGGCTTTCTGCTAGGTCTTGTCAATCGACAGATTCTGTTCAATCTGGTTGTTTCACATGACATGTAATAGAAAACTTTCATCAAAGTCCTCTTAAGAATTAAGTGCTGAATTAGGTTGCTTTCTTTAACTAGTAAAGTCATGAGGCCAATTTATCAGTATGAATGTTGGAATGTCTAAATATTTATTAGAAAAATGTCCATAAAGCAAAGGTCTCCAATTCCAGGAAAGGTGACAAATGATACGATGTCAAATGTGACTTGTAGGAAAGTACTCAGATTAAAAGAAAAAATTTCCCTCCATTCTAGAGCTGAGGTATGCATTGTTTTTACCATCATTAAGTAGGCATGCCTAAAGAATTCTTAGGCTTTCAGTTAGCCCTTAGATTTATCCTGGAATGCGTAAACCATATGAGTTGCATTAAAACACATTCTGCTCACAATAGGTTTCCTAATTGACAGGAAGAAGTCTAAATTGACAACTAAGGAGCAATAAGACTTGAAAACAGGAGTAAAAAATGTGTAATAGGGGTGCAGATAAATTTGTATAAGACTACAGGCAATAGAAAATCAAGTAAGAAGATCAAACAAAAAAGAAAATTTAGAAGTAATGAAATGGACAAATGTGGCATTATCCATTATACTCTTGAACGTCTTCTTGTAGCTAGCTATAAGCACTTTAAAACCAGAATTCCTGTACAACAAGGAAAGTCTGACACCTTGGTCTCAATATGGGAGATAGCAGAGGTCACTAATTTCATTTGGTGGAAAGTCTTAATATTCTTTGAAACGTTGATTTTTATTTTAAGAAATAAGTACAGACTAGTCTTTTAATGAAAAATGCCCATGTTCTTTACAGCAAATGAAACTTTAGACTTGATACAGTGTCACTTTATACTTTAGCCCTGTCTTCTTTCACTTACCACCTAGTAGTTGAGGAGATGAGGAGACTTGGAATAGAAAAAATAAATTAATTAATTAATTAAAATAAAAAGCAATTATACAAGTCATTGAAAAGGGAATAATGTTTTAGAGTAAGTTCAAGAAAACTTCCTAATTCTTGCCAGATATTTGGACTTCTATCTGGGAGCTGCTGCTGGTTTTTAACAGGTCAGGCATGGTCTTTGGAGTTCCATCGGAGATAACTCACACACACAGTCACATCTAAATTTATTATATAGAGAAAAATATGTATATATACACATATATGCATATGTATTATATGTAGAGAGAAATAAATATAGAAAAGAGAAATATTAACTTCATTTTCTAAATCAGTATTTGGAGAGACAACAGAAAACAAATGATACCAATCAAGTAAAGGCAGTAAAATATGAAGTACTATTTTTCTTCTAGACTTAGTTGATATCTTATGCATGTTATTTCCACTAAGAATACTGAATATGAAATGTTTATAAGCAACCATGACCTAAGACCAACCCAATCGTATTATTAATATAAACATTTTGTGAAGGCTAAGAACCATCTTTAGAAAATAACTTTAATTACATCAGTAATTGCGGTTCAGATTTTTTGACTAGCAGGAATTTAAGCCAAGTGCAGAAGGTGAAAGGAAAAAGATTAGAAGTTTCTATGAAGCTCTATGGAGCAGAACCAAATGAAGCACACTGAGTTAGAATCTGGAATAAACTCCAGAAATAAACAACTCACGAGTTTTAAGCTGCGTGCCATTCTGAGTAGTGTGATAAAATCTCTTACTAGCCCACTTTGTCCCACAGA